AATATCTGGTATTACTAGAACTACATGGATTATATACCAACGGACCCATTTCCTGTACTCGATTTCTTTTCTTTCTTCTCTCTCTCTCTATATATATATATATATATATATATATATATATGAAATATATGTGAAATTTGAAATACACTCATACCTGTAGACACGTGTATTTTGGTGGTTAAATATGTCTTTATTCTATTTGTGCAGACGCTCAAATACGTGTACTGAAAAATCTATGCCTATAATGTTCAATGTATGTGTAAAGTTTATAAACTCGACCAACTAATGAAGAAATTGAACCACATAAATTGGCGAATGGTAGATATTTTAATAGAACCAAGTAAGAGATTCTTTTTAGTTGAATAAAGATAACATCAAATTCTTATATGGAAAATATAAGTGAGTTTAATGTCTTCGGAATTTTCATTAGTGTTGACATAACATTTAAAGAGTGTTTCAGACAATACCAGACAGATTATAATAATATAAGATGATGCAAAATAGACCTCTAAAGATATTCCAATTCTCGAAGAGATGAAGAGAAGAAGATTTTTATGACTATATGAGCCTGTTGTAGTGAATAAAATTAAATTAAACAATTTTGATGGACAGGTTCAATTTAAATGTAGGGTCATAAAACTTGGGAATGGTTTACAGGATAATTGAAAAAAAAATGAAAAAATGAGGGAGAGAAGGAATTAAAACAAATCTCAGATCCAATACTTGAGCTCCTTTTACAAACTGAACAGAAATGGATTTATAATTGATAACACAATCAACTGTAATGAACAAATTTAGTATAAACAATGTACATACTAGAATAACTCTTGGAATCAAATCCGACTTAAGAATTGAAACTAAAGAAATGATTCTCAAACAAAATTCCTAATAATAACTAAGAAACACAACAGAATTAATTCAGAAGCCAATGAAACTTTGAGGGTTTTGTGAAGGAGTGAAAATTGAAGAGAAAATATAAAAAAGAAAAGTGTCAAAATATAATGAGTAAAAAAGAAAGAAAATAGAAAAGTAAGTCATGACTAGAAATTATGAAAATTTGAGAAAATATGAACGAAAAAAATCTTAGAAATGTCCAACTGGGAATGCCGAATCAAATTCAAAAAAAAAAAATGAATGAAGAGGAGATAGAAAGGTCAGAATTCAAAATGTAAGAACTTAAATCAAACTCGATACTGTCGTCACAGATATTCATCAAATATTTGTATTGAAAGTGAGAAACATTAAGCAATAAAATGTAGCGACAAATTAATAAGATTAATCGAAGAGTTCTATGCAAATCTGTATGAGTAGAAAAAAAAACATGCTACCAGCAGATAATCTAAATACTAATTATTTTTCCACGTGTAACATTAGACGAAATAATATGTAAGCTGCAAAATGTGATATGACAAATCGAAGGTGGCATAGTAACAGATATTTTGAAAAGAAAGAAGAAAGATAAATATGTATTAGTTTAGGTTTTACCAATTTATTTCAATATATCATTCGAGAAATAATAATCATATTTGATAAAAGATGAAATACTAAATAATTATTCCCAAAACCAGTCTACAAACATGCGAGATGAAAAATCAAATAAGCACATTTTACAAGTGGTTACTCAACTATTATTTATATCAAAAATAAATCAACAGAATATATAGAAACTGAAAATAAATTTGACTCCTTAGAAAATTTGATTTAAACTCAATGCGAGAGTAAAGTATGAAGAAATATATAAAAGTTATTTCGAATATATATGATAATATATGATAAAAAAGAACTGCAGTAAATCGACCACACACAAAGATGGACAAAGTAGAAACTGAAAAGGAGCAAAGAAAGATCTCAAGTAAACTATTTACAGCAGGCTTTGAAAATCTAATCTGAAATCAAAGCGGAATAAATGTCTAGAAATATAAACGAGGAAAGTTTGAAAAATTGAAAATTATGTTAAGTTTTACTACGATCACTATTACCGAATGAATTGCAAGAAACAACTTCTTTTTTTTATGTGCCGTGTCCTTCAGGACGTAGACGATCATGGTCTTACATCGTTCTGTCCCCTGTAGCCCTTAATAAATCTTGTATTTTTTGTTATTTCTCTCAAACCCTATTCGGTAAACCATTTACCCTCTGTTCTCTTCCTCAGTCAGTCCTGTGAGTATCAGATTTCCCAAGCCTCTCGTTCCTCAATACTTGCCTCAGAAATTTCAACTGCCTCTTCCTGATGTTAAGTATAAGTTACCCTTTTTTGTTTTATTCGTTCCAAAACTTCATTGGTGTTCAAATTATCGGGTCATGAAAATAGAAATACTATGTAGATTTAAAATGAATAAAACTAAAAAACTAAAGGAATATTCAATTGTAACTTTTTGGAAAATATAATAAGGACATATAATGCAATGGTAGATATTCAAGAATTATATATTTTGTGTATGTAATAATATAAAGAACAAAACGAAATACAACGATGGTAAGAAAGCATTCAAATAGTGGGATGATAAAATATAATATTTTTAATGCTTAATGCATATTTTGAATGCAAAATACAAAGGCTGACGTTGGACGTCGAACTTGTAACCAATAAAATTACTTAAAAAATAAAAATAAATCTCCCCCAACCAAATATTCAGTTGAAAGAGCAATTCGAGTGATAATTAGAAAAGACAGAATTTAATATGGAACCAGATAATAGATCGAAATATGAGATACTATAGAAGTGATTAAAATAAACTAGAGGTGAGGGTAAAGTTTTTACAAGAAAATATAAAAACATGGAGTCAGCTATTGATTGGTTAGTGGTTAATGAGTAACACAAATTGCAAGAAATGACCAGACATTAGATATGCGAGAAGGTTTCTTTTTAATTAATTCACCACAATCAAGGTGATAATAACTCTAAGAAGCAAGAGGCTACTGAATTGAAATGAGAATAAAAGACTTTAAAAGAAGCTGGAAACGAAATAATGAACAAGAAACAAGTCATAGACTTTACTCAAAGTTAAAAGACCGTGAAGGAGTGTAAAACTGGTCGATAAGGAACCTATCTACCCTATTGAGGAAGAAAATGAAAAAACAATTTAAAAAAAATACTCAATCACATTTCTGTGTTATGGGGTAAACGTTAGAAGAATATAGTTGCAATAGAATTTTGGAGGAGACGGAAACTAAATTCTAAACAGGGAACAAAGGATAAACCTCTACTCCTGTTCAAAAGACAAGGAGGAGTGTGGAAACGGTAGGTGAACTAATCTGCTTTACTTTGTAGGCAAGAGACTACAATAGACATCAGTGACACATTAATCGTCCAAGTGGGGGGAAGGTCGTATTTTATATTTTATATGGAACATTGTCTATCTGTAACATCTATATCATTAATTTTAAAACGATATATATATATATATAATTCTTTACTTACCTTTTTAAAAAATAATTTCTTCTAATTTTTAAATATATTCCAGTAATTGTTCTTAAATAAAACCATCTATTGATGATTTTTACTAGCATTTTTTTTGTTCCTTTAATCTTGTGACGAAATAAGTTGAGTGTTTAATATTTTAAAAGTTAGGTCAAAGTTATTTTAACTGTTTAACTGAAACCGCACCCCTAATTTTACCACCTTTTAAATCTGCGGGATTTCCTCCTTATTCTCCTTCCTCCCTGTCTTTATATTATCATTTCATTTTATATATTTTTCTCGATTCCTCTTCCTTTATTCCTTTAATGTCTTGATTCTCCTATAATATTGGAAAATCTATTTACACTTATGTTTAGATATTTTTCTGTCTTTTTTGAAAATAAACAGAAGGGAAAATCTGGAGAGTGCAGCCATTGAATATTATCCAAATATTAATCTATGCCCAGTTTTTTTCGCAATATCACCTTTCCTAACAGAATTACTTACTCTCCCAAGCCAACGTACACAACTATATCAAGGAATCAAAAGAAAAATGGTTGAATCTTTCAATACAACAATAAAAACAATATTTCTGAAACTACTTGACGTAATTTTCAGTTGACAATACGAATACAAGAGCGTTTTCCAAATTCTTCTAGTTGTTAAGGAAAATGTCAGTAGATACTTTGTTTTCAATAAATTGATTTTGTTTACCTTAGAAAACGCGTAGGCTTTAATACAGTTTTCATATTGTTTTTACAACCCCACTCTCTCTCTCTGTATGTATATATATATATATATAAATAATATATATATATATATATATATATATAAGTATTTATTTATGTTTTTGCTTCACTAATTATAAGGATGAGCGGTAAGGGGTAATTCTGAATTACAAATCAGAGAGTCGGTCAGGTTTGTTATATTCACTGCAAATAACCTTTGATAGTTTGTTTTAAGTTTCCGTTCGTTTCTTTAATGTATTGCGGAGCAGTTCTTAAAATTTATTATACATGTATATATCTGGTTCAGAAATAGTATAGTTATCGGCATTTGGTTTCAATATATCAACATTTAATTTTGTATGTTGTTTAGATTGGAGAAATTGTTTTGATATTGGATGTCATCGAGATGATAGGTAGTATTATGCGTTTGATTTTATGTAATTTATTATCGTAAATAGTGCTGTTAATTTTTTGCGGGTAGTTTATTTGTATGCCTTTTTCTTAGCATTGTAGATAAAATAATAAGGATAATTGAGGTTTTTCAAAGTGTATATTTATTCATTGGGTAATGCTATGAATTCTTAGTCCTCTTAAAAAGAAACCTATAATTATTCCAGATTGATCTTTGTACAGTGTTGGGAATAAACACTGACCAGCCATCTCCTTGTTAGTAGATTTTCTGCAAATCACAAACTGATGTTCGTTATTATTTCTATGGAGCATGATATCTAGGAATGGTAAAGAGTTGCAAGAATCAGATTCTGTTATTATGTTTTTTGGATATATTAATAGAGAATCATCCATGTATCTGAAATAAGAGAACCATATTTTTTAAATCAGTTAATTTATAATATTATACTCTGTACATGTACATTGAGAAAAGATATAGGTGGAAGTGAAAGAAAGTAGGAGAGAAAATGCGGGAGTATCTGTTGGAGAGTAATAGTGAGATGGTGTTTAGAAGAGAGAAAGAGAGTGAGATACTGCTTGTCAGTAAGGTCGCTAAAAAGAGAGAATGAAGGGAAGGAACGAGAGAGAGAGAGAGAGAGAGAGAGAGAAAGAGAAATTGAGAGTAAGAGAGACTGGTGATAATTTGTGCTTTTTGTTGAGAATAGGGGAGCAGAAGTTTAGAGTAAAAGGAAATAATCTAAAATTGAATGGAAATTTAAATAGAAGAGAATAAGTCTGGATTTGTCGAAAGACAATTCGTTTTTAAGATCTAATTTTCATTAAATACCTATTTTGAATAAGTTCTTCATTTAATACAAAAATGAACCTGAAATACAGAATCAGACACACAAACACAAACATGCAAAAATCAAATAAACAGCATCTAAAAACCCATTTAAAAATTAGACATAGATTCATCAGTATGCCCCCCCAAAACTTAATGGATAAAAGCATTTAATTACACAAACCCTGAGAGCCAATAAAAGTAGAGATGAATTGGTACTAATGGATGAGGTTTTTTATAAGGATGGAATAAAAAACGTAATAGGAAAAAAGGAGAATAAGGTATAAATAATAATAAATATATATATATATATATATATATATATATATATATATATATATATATATATATATATATATATATATATATTCAGATATATAGGAAAATAAGAAAAACCGTTAGGTTAATAAGCCAAAGTTCTTTAGTATTTCTGTTATTCCAAAATTCTCTTGAGAATAAAACAGACCTGGTTTTTTAGTTCTGATTTTTTGAAACACGAGAACTTTTCTGTAGCGATGGAATCATTTTTTTAAAAATAATTATATATATATATATATATATATATATATATATATATGCTGCTACAGGGTGGATCAAGATTAGTTTTACAGATTTTGCGGGTGGGTTCCTAACAAAAACAAGGATAAAAGTTCATATAAACATATGTCCGCAATATATCGTTTTAAGTTTAAAAGAAAGTTTTACGGTAAATGACACTGTTGCCATGTATACATTTATGAAGCTAGGCTGTTTTCATTGTTTAACGTGTGTAGTGGTAAATTAACTGAGAAATGTTCGTTTAACAATGGTAGGATATTCATATCGTGAGCAGGCCGATATGATTTTTATACGACCACACGGAATGCTAATGGCCTTGAGGCTACACGGGCTGTATCAGATTGCGTTACCAGACCGAATGCTGCCGAGTGATTCAACATTTAATGCTCTTATCATCGCATTGCTGTGACAGGATCCGTGACACCATACACCGTGGATCGAGGGAAAGACAGAGATTTTAACCATTACGCCTCATGAAGATCATATTATGCAGGCTGTCGAAACGATCAGTGTCAGCACACGTCAAGTGACCCTAACATGACGTATCTCATACTACCCCCTTGGGGATACTCAAGAGAAAAATCCTGTATCCGTATCATTTGCAATGTGTGCAAGTTTTTCGCCATCTAATCACTTACCACGGGAGAACGATGGATTATTGCACAAAGTTCGGGCCCGTCAGTCTTAAGCATGGATGAATCAACATTTACAAGTAATGGCTGACATATACCATAATAAATTTACACAATCAACATTTGTGGTCGGATCAGAATCCCCATAATCCACACATTAATGTGTGGTCTAGGAATTGTAGGTGACATATGTAGGCACATGTTCTTACATATCTTTATGTACTTAAATCTTACAGGTGTGTCTACAGGGACTTTATTTCGAACTCGCCTCCAGGCTTGTTAGAGGAGATGTATCCCCTGCTAATACGAAGACATGTGGTTCATGCATGATGGCGCTGCAGCGCATTTTAGTCATATGGTACACGATCCAATGGCTGATATATATGAACGAAGAAATTGCAGACAAGTTTATATGGACTATTTTCCTTGTTTTGTGTTCAGAACCCACCCTAAAAAGTTTCGAAAACTATTTTTGATAAAACCTGCGTCTTTATTTATATATATATATATATATATATATATATATATATATATATATATATATATATAAACACTAATATTCCATGGTTATAATTTATTAAATTTGAATCGTAATTACGATCCAATTCATCAGACCTACAAATTCAAAAAAAAAAGAAATCAGAAAAATAACTCCGGGGATAAAAATAAAATTTAGTGAGAGTGTAAGTATGAATGAGAGTGGGGGAAATTAATGGATTTCATTTTTAATAGACAAATTTTATAATTTCAAAGTTATTTTAGTGGATACTCGTTTTTAGTAGATTTTCTGGTTATTTTAAACTAATGAGCTTGCGTTTTCACTTGCAGGAGAAACAGCTGACTCTCTCTTGCCGCTCGGCCACGACGATCTTCAAAATGCTGCAACGTTTCAATTTGCTTTTAAAGCACACTCATTCTTTCAGATCTTTCTCGAAACGCATTTCTGCTCAGTTTCGATTGCCAAACGTAAATACAGGGATTTCTAAAGAATTAAGGAATTTCATTTATTTTATTTTTTATTTATTTTATTTTTTTGAGAGAGAGAATTTTGTTGCTGAGCGATGAAAACAACGCCAATTCAGGCGGTGGTTCTTCTTGCAAAGGAGACACGGGTTCAATGCTCGAGTACGCAACCTGTAGACGAAGTAAATACTGTTTTTAAATAAACGAGGCGTCTACTGAAATACAGGTATCCACTACAAATAAAGTTTGAAGTAATATGTGTCTGTCTGTTTCGGCCTCTGTTCTGTCGCTGTCTGTCTGTCTTTCCCTGTCTGTCTCCCTCACTCTTACTCTCTCTCTCTCTCTCTATATATATATATATATATATATATATATATATATATATATATATATATATATATATATATGGGAAATGAGAAAGAAAGAGATAATGTTCATTGAAATAATGTTTGTAGAAATTTTTTTTTATTGTTTATTCTGTTTTTAATTTTCGAAACATTTTGCTGTATGTTTAAATAAAATCGATAAACCGTCCTAAATTTACGTCTTTATTTATTTATTTTTTTTGGTATAATTTCTATCGTTTCTAAGCTAATTTCAAGAATTATTATTTGTTTGATTATCTTATTTATTAGCTTCTTTTGATCATAAACATTCACTTGCAACATTAATAAACGTTTTGTGTGCTCAATTCTGGGAATTTTACTAAACCTTTCTAATAATTTGACACGCTCAAATCACCGTGCTGATAACAAATTTGGCGCCAGTTTGTTTACTTTGCGCAGATCAGTACGAAAATTTCAGTGATTGCGCAGGTCAGTGTTGCCAACAATGTGTGAAAATTTTGTGTGAATTGATTGGGCGGTTTTTGAAATATTAGAAAAAAGTTATCTTGATAATAATTTGGCACGCAGTATATATATATATATATATATATATATATATATATATATATATATATATATATATATATATATGTGTGTGTGTGTGTGTGTGTGGGGAGGCCTAATATAATGTATGCAGAGGAGTGGAAAGATAGGAGCCAGTATTTTAATATTATAATTTTTTTTTTATTATAAAAGCTTCTTAGACATGCGCATTGCAGTTGTTAAATATTACGCTGATATACACAGATTTCTGGCGCGAAGCTAAACTTAATACAAATAATCTTATTTGAGAAGAAATCAAGAAAACATTCGGTACAAACGAAATTAGGCCCAACATTACTGAATGATGCAACAAGGTGTTATAAAAACAATGGAATTGAAACATAAAACAAAGAGAAACATAAAAAAATGGAATTGAAACATAAAAGAAAAAGACTGAATGAAATTAAAAATTAATAAAGTTTTTGCTGTTTTGATTGTACATAAAATTTCGAGCCTTATTGATTAATGATTGCTGAGGATAGCCATGGAAATAAAAAAAAATGTCCCACTGAACGAATATTTGCCTATTTGATAACATTGTTTCGTACACGAGGTAGAAAACTGCGAATTACATACAAAATTGATGTCTACTTGCTTATTTTGCGGGTATGCTCATCGGCGAGTATGTTTATCGATTTTTTGTAGCATACGCCTGATCAGACACATTCATGTTTATACAGTAGCCATATATATATATATATATATATATATATATATATATATATATATATATATATATATTGTGATCGAAATTGGGTAGATGGAACACTCGAGGTCCGCCGATAGCTGTGCTAGCACAGAGCCACAAGTCATCGTGGCCGAGGGCTTGAGCGTACTGACCTTTTTCAAATTGTTGATCACGATAGATAACACGGTCTTTCCCAGAAACTGTAAATAAGGTCTTTTTAGCATAGTTGCAGCATAAACTACAGGTAGACTCTGTGCGTGTTGAATAAGCACAAGTGTGCCTGAGTGTGCCTCTGAAATTGGCTAGCAACCCTAGTAGACGAGTATCCTCGACTGCTTATATATATATATATATATATATATATATATATATATATATATATATATATATTGTATATACCAGAACTACCTACACAATAGACTCTTCCAGGTCTATATTAATTGTGCGACAAAACACTCTAGACAGAGTCACAGCGAGACAGTGAGAGTCTAGTACAACTACCAGTGTTGGACACTAACTTAGAGTAAGCTCCGCTTACACTATCTCTGTAACCTGTTGTTAATATACCTTTCTTATATCTAATCCGTGTTCCGTGTTTTACTTCTGTGGTCCCAACTTTGGCCCCACATCAGTGGCGACGAGGATTCGAGAAACGCACTCACGGCGAAATACCTTACCAGTTCCAAATCTGTGTCGACGAAGAACTCGAGAAACGCATTCACGTCGAAAACCGCAATACTTTGCCAGTCCCACATTAGTGGCAACAGAAAGGTTCGAGAATTTCGTTCTCCCCATATCAATAGCGATAGAGTACTCGAAAAATACACATAAACTCCACACGTTCCCACAGCAGTGTTGAACGAAAAATTAAGCTGGTATTACTACATTAGCGATTTAAACGCAACACCCAGCGTCTACATATATAAAAAAAGTATGTATGTATATTCCAATACCAAACATCAGTGACGAACTAGCAATTCGACATCTATGGAATATTAAAGTCTGTCCAAATAACATTACGAGAACGATTTCTTACACACTCACACAGCAAAAAAAAACCCAGAAGTACTACCATTGTACCCAAGTTTTCGAAGAAAAAACTATCTAATTTTTTTTTATGTAACTGAGTTGAACTCGTGCATAAAATTATTCTCCCCTCAAATTCACTGAGGTGAGTTTTCTCTTTTTATAACTATAAAAAAATACATAAGTGTGGTGAAAATTTATACAATTACGTTAAAATTAACGAAACCACGGAATTGCAAAAAAGCTAAACACATAATTAGTTTAGTTTAACTAATTGTCTGTCCATATTTTCTTTTTTGTAAAAAAAAAGAAAAATCTATTAAGATTTTTTTGTGTACCTCCTCTTAGTACACGTGTTTCAAAGCAACAAAAAAGCGCTGTAATATTTAAATATGGAAGATTTTCAAAAAGCAGTTGACCAAATGTTAAAACTAAATTTCGATCAGCAACAAAAATCAGAAGAAAGACAACAACAACTATTTTTGGAATTACATAAACAACAAATGGATTTCCAACAAATTACGCTTTACAATGCTGAACTACAACAGAAACAACTTAAAGAATTACTCGTAAATGCATTAAAAGGCTCAAACTCTGAAAAAGATACAATATTCTCCCAGAGTACAATCTACAATTCAATGGAAACCTTTGAATAGGTACCAGAGAACGACAAAACGTTCGACGCTTTTTACAGGCGCTACGAAGATATTTTCAATGTCGACTGTGAACAATGGTTCAGTAAAAAGAAGGTACGTCTTCTATTGAGAAAACTGGGAACTACAGAACATAGTAGGTTCGTAGACTTCATACTACCCAAGAAAACGACTGACTTGAATTTTTCAGAGACTATTAAGCTCCTATCGGAACTATTCGGGCCTAACACAACCTTGTTCCACAAACGTTGGAAATGCCTGAACACAGTCAAAGACAACCAGCAAGATTTTCTAACGTTTGCAGCATCGGTAAACAAGCTATGTAATGATTTTAAACTAGCAGACTGACTGCCGATGATTTCAAGTGCTTGATTTTTGCACACGGTCTAGTATCAGCAGAAGACGCCGAAGTCAGACGACAGGTACTGACCAAGCTTGAGAACGAACAAGGATTGACTCTCAAAAACTGGCAGAGGACTGTCAACGAGTAATATCAGTAAAGCGTGACTCAAACACTATTGAGGAATCAGGTGTGACTCAGATTAATAAAATCAGAAGTAAGTCTACCTCCTATTCCCCTCAAAAGACAAAGGGCAAATCTCATGTCCTAAATTCCGCAGTAACCAAAACCCAAATAGGTTAAAAAACCGCCGGACCATGTTACCATTGTGGTAAATGGCATTGGATGAAATTCTGTCCAGTTAAGAACAAAAAATATTGCAAAATTGCAATAAAAGTGGGCATACTTCGTGCTGGTACGCCAACAGAACGAGAAAACCCAAAAAAATAAAATTAGGCAAGCTCAATCTGACAATATTGTTGATAGGAATTTAAGAAAATATGTAACTGTGGATATTTTCAATAAGTCCATTAAATTCCATCTTGACTCGGGTTCTGATATTTCAACCATTAACTGGCGTACTTGGCGAAAATTGAACAAGCCGACCTTATTAAAAACGGATAAAACAGCAAAATCCGTAACTGGGGAAAAGATTAACATTTTAGGCGAGGTAATACTTATAGTAACACAAAAATGAAGTTACCAAAAAGCTCAAAAGCCTACGTATTGAAAAACTTCAGATAACTTATTTGGAACAGATTGGATAGAAAATTCAATCTTTGGGATTGCCCAATTGCGTACATTTTGTCGCAAGATACAAAAGTACAACGTCCAATTTGGTAAATCTAAAAAGGAACTTAAACAACAATTTCCCCAGGTTTTTTTCTGGAGGCCTTGGGATATGTTCTAAAATGAATGCTAAGTTCAAGGTGAAGGACGGTTAATAAACCGGCATTCAAAAGAAACGGAATGTCCCTTTCGCTGCTTTTAGAGCAAATCAACAAAGAGTTAGAAAGACTCGAACAAGCAGGTATTCTGTCAAAAACAGATTTCTGCGAGTGGGCAGCACCTACGGTCTACGTAAAAAAGAAGTCCAATCAAATACGAGTATGCGCAGATTTTTCCACAGGGTTAAACGATGGCTTGCAAGATCACCACTATCCTCTCCCAAGCCCTGAAGAAATTTTCAATAAACTCAATGGTGGAAATTTTTTTTCTAAAATTGATCTCTCGGACGCATACCTTCAGATAGAGGTGGATGAAGAAAGTTCCAAATTGCTCTGCATAAACACCCATAGAGGGCTGTACAAATACAATAGACTGGCTTTTGGAGTAAAGGCTGCGCCTGCAATTTTCCATGCTGGGCGACCTTGACTACGCAACAGCCTATTTGGATGATATACTGGTTACTAGTAAAACTACGGCAGAGCACCGGAAACATAAAAAAACGTATTCGAAAAGATACAAGAATACGGATTTAAGGTTAAGGAAGCAAAGTGTGACTTTTTCTTACCAGCGATTAAATACTTAGGGCGCATTATAAATAAAGACGGTCGTCGGCCGGATCCAGAAAGATCTAACGCGATCAGAAATATGCCGGCCTCAGATAACGTTCAAGCGTTACAAAGCTTCCGCGGCCTAGCTAACTTTTACCAAGGGTTCATTAAGAACATGCAAAATTAGAGAGGGCCTCTCAACCAACTCTTAAAAAAGATAAACCATGGTCATTGACCCCGGAATGCCAAGACGCATTCGAGAAGATCAAGAAAACTCTTACTTCGGATCTCTCCCTCACCCATTACGACCCTAGTATCGACATCATAGTCGCAAGTGATGCAATTTTACATAAACTGCCACATGGTTCGCGAAAAGCTGTGGCTCACGCATCAAGATCTCTAGTTCGATCTCGGCATGCCCCAAGTTTCTCCTGAAGTGCGACGCTCAGGAAGGAAAAGGAAATTTACTCAAACGCTCGACGTAAATCCCAAGAGGAAAAGTATTAACAGTTTTATTTTCTCTCCTTTCAAAAATAAAACTCTTGGAAGGGGGGGGTATTGTGAGACCGGAACTACCTACACAATAGACTCTTCCAGGTCTAGATTAAGTATGCGACACAACACTCTAGACAGAGTCACAGAGAGACAGTAAGAGTCTAGTACAACTACCAGTGTTGGACACTAACTTATAGTAAGCTCCGCTTACACTATCTCTGTAACCTGTTGTTAATATATCTTTCCTACATCTAATTCGTGTTCCGTGTTTTACTTCTGTGGTCCCAACTTTGGCCCACATCAATATATATATATATATATATATATATATATATATATATATATATATATATATATATATATAGCGTTCTAGATCTCATTTCTCGCAATGATGCTTGTTTCTTTTGTTTGTTTCTGAACGTGCAGCGGGAGTTTCCCAGATTTTGTTGCAAGAATCAGGATACAATGTAAGTTAGAAATTTTCAGGTTTTGGTACGTTTTATGAATTCAGACACGCGCACACAAGCACAAACACATACACACCGCGTAAAGTTTAGATTTTGTTGAATATATATATATATATATATATAGTTTATATATATATATATATATATATATATATATATTTTTATATATATATATAGTTTATATTTTTTGAATATATATATATATATATATATATATATATATATATATATATATATATATATATACATATTCAACAAAATCTAAACTTTACGCGGTGTGCGTATGTGTTTGTGTGCGTGCGCGCGAGTGTCGGAATTCATGCAACGTACCAAAACCTGAAAAATTCTAACCTACATTGTATCCCGAGTCGTGTTCTTGCAACAAAAAACTGGGAAACTTCCGCTGCACGTTCAGAATGAAACAAAAGAAGAAACAAGATTCATAGCGTAAAATAAGATCTAGAACGTTTTTTTAGTATATTTAGTTTAATTTAGGTCGCCATTGCATTGTCTTGGCGGCTAGGTATGTTTAGAGTTAGGGTTGTGAAAACATCTGCCATATAACTCTTCCTATATACTAATGTATTACTAATTTATTACTAATTTCAATAGCACAACTTGAGCTTGACGATTCTAGTGGGTGGGTTATCTGAAATAAAAGAGGGATTCAACCAGTTTGCAAAATCAAGGAAAATTTAGGGAGCTACCTGAACATAACGAAACGTAAAAAAATCATAATAATAATAATAAAGTCGAAGTCACAGGGGACAATAAAAAAAATCCATGACACCAAATAGTCAATGAGACTATAAAGACAGATTCAAATGCGCAAAAAACACAAGTTACAGCCAACTATTTTTCCAATCAAATTTTTATACACCTGCTCTAGTATAAAATAAATAAATGCTCATTTTACCAAATATCACACAAGTCTACGGTAAAAATATTTACATAAACTATTGGCTATGAATGGTCACAGTCAACCTTTTAAAATAGACTATACCATCCTCGATACTTACCTGGCCATTTCGCCGGAAAATTTTCAAAATAATATCAAACTGAAGCGTGGGGGACATCCATTCCAGTCTGAGGGGGCTGGGGTCATTAACCGACGCCTGATTGAGCCCTACGTGCATCTCTTCAAGGGTGAGGTTGACAACATTCTACACTGCGTATAAACAAGCATTATTTTTGTTTATTTAATCAAAATATTAGTATTATTTTTTTACATCATCCAGTTAATTAATTCCTATATTTGCTAATTTATTTAGAAACAAATATTAAGGACAAATATTGGATTTAAAGAGATGTTTGAATTTTCTCTTATAATTTGCCGTTTAGATAGGAGTTTTGTTCAGTAAAAAGTGATCATGTTTAAAAATGATTTTAAATGTCTAAAACATTATGTAATGACAAAAATACACGGGTGTACGCTTTATTCAACTGAGAATACAAGGTTTGCGTATATTGTCCTTTTATAGTCCCAGTAAACAGACATAACTCTCTCAAAGAAGAGAGTAACAAAACAAGGAGAGAACACTCTTGATTATTTATAACACATTATATAAAATGTAAAATTAATTATATTTTTGGATGAGCTTTAGGCAATTATCTTCGAAATAAACGAAAATTGATCTTCATAGAATTCATTTATACTATTAAAAATGCGTTCTTAACTTTTTTCGTAAGACTTAGGCGATAATTTAACATTCCAATGACTAAAAGTAAAATTATTATGTATTTATCGTAAAGAAAGATGAAAGCTACAATACGACGTTGGGAAAGTGACTGAAGCCGAGATGCCATTTATTGCTGACTCCTCTTTGGATTTTATCAAGAATCGCTTAATTTATATCTGATGTAGCGGACCAGATGTGGCAGCAATATTCAAAGCATGGACGAAGAGAAGACTTATAGATATGAAAGATAGATTATGGAGAGAAAAATTGTTTAACACGACACAACGAACTGAAATCGATTCATTATTGTCATTCGATTTCATATCAGCCGAAAATGTTAGATTGAGGAGGAGCAACCAGTTTCTCATCAGCCACGCTAACGAGAGTCAAGAATGAGAGTTTCAGGTAGTTAATGGAAAGGTTTTGTTTTAGAAGCGTTACAATTAACAAACGACACATTGACCCAGTTAACACCTTATCAAAAGAAAGTGATCTTTTGCTAAATTCACTATTCATTATAGACTAAATTTCAGTAGCTTGAGCTTTTTTTACTCGATACTTTGTTTCTAATAGAATTTTCTTAGTTGGTCGTTTTTTTTTATCCGTTTATTCATGTGTCGTAAGCTTGCTTGTTGTTTTGTATGTGATTTACTAAAGCACCTGCATTATATTCTTTTATTTTTCTGTTTCATCTTTGTTATATCCACGCCCCATTTTCTCATTCTCTGCATTTGTATTGTGAGTGCCTGCATTCTCTTCTTTTTGGGTCATTTTTGCTGCATTCTTTCTCATCCCATTCATTGATTTTGTGCAGGATTCTGTGCACTTTCCCCACAGCCAGATTTCTACTGCACTGTGAATGAGTACCAAACAAAATGTCACAAAAAAAAAAAAATCGCATTTTGTCGCCGTTTTTTTTTTTTTTTTTAACCTTTTAATCATTTCACGTCATTGAAGACGCTAATGTCACTAAGACGCGAGGGGGTTTTTGACAGTGAAAGAAAATATTATGACGTTAGTGAGGAGAAAGGACCATAAAAGAACAGGATTCAGAAAGGCAGAAGATGACGATTGATGTGGCATTTAAATTCTTGAATATAATAGATGGTAGAGAAGTAAGAAAGCGAAGATAGACAAGAGAGAAGTGTGAGACAATTAAATATTAGAATAGAACTTATGGTTACATCGAGCTATTTTAAAAGGGAATCAATCAGACACAATATCCAATCTAGCCAGTCAATTATGTGTGATGCGTGATACATGCTTAGGTGATCATGTATCTTTCGATACATGACTGACAAGGCAGATATTTCTCGCCGTAGGTTGCCATTTCTTTCTGCTGTAGTCCCGTTGTCATCCAAGGCTATAGAACACGGTCTCTCTTGCTATTTACCCACAGCTGGGAGGAGAAGAGGAGGATCCATACTTTTCTCAAGGGTAGTAACACATAAGTGGATGTAAATGGATTCGGTTCTCCGATTCCTCAATCCGAGCCGCTATCCACTACTCCACCGCGGCTCCTTACTCCATCGTGCCTCCCTTACGCCACCTTGCCTCCAATCTAGTAGCACATTTAATTCATTTGGTCGATGTACTAGAAAGGAAAGCTCCTTAGAATAATTGCCATGAGTATATTCATAAATATAGACAGAGGACCCACTGTCGGTGGAAATGTGCCTTACGCTGAGATGCCAAGTCAGAATTGAATCTATTACAGGAGCTTCTTTGGATTTACGAACTTCTATATCTCGAGATATATAGCAAGTGCAGCAAATCAAATGTTGCACGAATATTCAGTTCATGGACGAATAGTAGATTTATGAATATGCAAGATAGATTCTGCTGAGAAAAAAATTGTCTATGACGAAACAATGCTCAAAACTTACTATCAGCAAAGCTAGGAATTAATTCAATATAAGAATTCGACTCCAATTCCATGGAAAATGTCAGATCAAAAAGGTAAAATAAGTTTCTCTTATGTAGATTTATAGCGAGGAAAACGGCGAATTACTTCGTCAAACCAAGCGTCAGCGTGTCTCATGTATCCTACGACGGAAACCGTGGCGAAAAAGAAAGTTACTTGCCGAAAAAAAAAAAGAACTTATTCTGCATGATATGCTGAAGATGGAATATTTAAATTAGAAACGTCAGTCGCAAGAGTCGGCATAAAAGTATTTTGGTATACTAATATTGTGCGTCCTCTCCCAGTTGTCGACGAATGAAAAAATGCTCGATCGATAAATACAGTTGGTTTTCTCGAGTCGGGGAGGGAAAAAGACAAAATTTATTTAGCTACCGCGGTCGTACTGAGGGAGTGAGTCTTCTGTCTGGTTACGTGTATTTTGATTCGTGACATAGTACCTGCAAATCGAGATTTCGACATTCCTTTCTGCCCCTGATCTTCGAGTCTGAAATTACAGTGATTTGTTCTCTTCGTTGTGGAAGTATTCTGCGACAAATATTTTCCTTTGCAATCCAAGAATTCTTGCAAGATTAGCTCCAGCCAGACTGATGGAAAACAGAAATATACCAAAAACAGGGAATTGTCACTCACAAACTCACAAGTAAAAGGAAAATAAAAAAAAACCCAAAAAACACGCCGATAAATGAAGACTCGAACCCTGTATGCAAAATATTCAGGGCCTTACTTGCACCGAGCATAGGTAGGTAAGACTTGGAATAATTTCTGCCATGTCAGTTTTAAAAGTTCATCTCCTCTATGCAACTTTTCGTCCTATCAACTCTCTGACCTTTTCCAAAAACATGGCGCGTGACTGGCAATTCTATCTGGTGGCACTATTCAATGCACAGTCTGACCTCGTGCACCTGTGCCAGTGAGCATTGTGTGCATTAATATAGACCGGAAATCATCAGAGACCAATTTTTGCTGTCATTTATTCCCTATCAAGTGGGTGGGCGCTTTGAAGATTACCATCGATCGGTTTCCAAAGGGTTCCGTCTACCTAATTTCACTCATCTTCCTAACAAATCAACCGTGATGATATTCGAGTCCGGGGTTTCTTGTCGAGAACGCTAACGTCTATCCACTCGGCTGCACAGACCCGCGCATATATATATATATATATATATATATATATATATATATATATATTATTTTCGATGTTCGACATGTAGAAATTTCTAAATGTCGGACCCAGTACTGAACCCATTGAGACACCAACACGTTGTATATTTATATATTATTATTATGATTTAAGAAAGGGAATTCAGTAATACAAGTTAATATTAGTTTCCGTAATATATTAGGATTAATTTTAAGTGGAGGTCTATGCGTAATTTCTTCCACTTGGTCCGCGGTAGTTATATCTTTATAACCTCGAAAATAAGATATTTACTGATTTAAAAAAACATCCATCTAACTAAGATATGTTGATGATATCCTTATGTTAGTTAAAATACAGATGAATACTTCAACTTCAAAAACGTTTCCAAAATAATTCTGTCCTTAAATTCACATATGAACTCAATACTAATAATAAAATCCCCTTTACTTTACTTTTTTGCCATACAAAAAAACTACCAGTATAAATTCAGGTACGCTTAACTACAAGAGCGAATGTCCATATTACAATAACTAAAAGATATAACTATCCCGGACCAACTGGAGGAAATTACGCATAGACCTCCCGCATAAAATTAATCCTAATATATTACGGAAACTACAATTAGCATGTGCTATTGTAGTCCCTTTCTTAGATCATTATATATATATATATATATATATATATATATATATATATATATAACTTAAGAGCTGAAGACGGCTGGATTCAGTTCAGTCAGAAATAGGTTATTCGCAAACTGTGGTAAATTTGTTTTTTTACCGTAAAAGATATATATATATATATATACTCTGTTATAGTAAAGACCTTTAGCTATATGTGGATTAGTTTTAATATCTGGTATTACTAGAATCCACATGGATTATATACCAACGGACCCATTTCCTGTACTCGATTTCTTTCTTTCTCTCTCTCTCTCTCTCTCTCTATATATATATATATATATATATATATATATATATGAAATATATGTGAAATTTGAAATACACTCATACCTGTAGACACGTGTATTTTGGTGGTTAAATATGTCTTTATTCTATTTGTGCAGACGCTCAAATACGTGTACTGAAAATCTATGCCTATAATGTTCAATGTATGTGTAAAGTTTATAAACTCGACCAACTAATGAAGAAATTGAACCACATAAATTGGCGAATGGTAGATATTTTAATAGAACCAAGTAGAGATTCTCTTTTTAGTTGGAATAAAGATAACATCAAATTTCTTATATGGAAAAATATAAGTGAGTTTAATGTCTTCGGAATTTTCATTAGTGTTGACATAACATTTAAGAGTGTTTCAGATAATACCAGACAGATTATAATAATATAAGATGATGCAAAATAGAACCTCTAAAGATATTCCAATTTCGAA